TCAAAAAACTTCATTTTGAGCTGAAAATAGGAAGTATGGGGAATTGGGTGAGAAGTTATGGATTTGTGTTTAGGGTTTCGAGAAAAGGAGTCACAATTTCAAGAAATGTGTTTAAGCAATCGAGAAAAACTGTAATTTGTTTACTTGATTATCCATACATTATTTAAAAAATAATGTTTAAATTGTTCAAATGTGATACAAGAGGCTTTTAAATATCATCTAATACATATTATAGGAAAATATAGAGTGACAACTGATATTTATATGCATTTTATAAAAGTGTAAAAACTTTACTATTATAAAGATCTCATTGATTTACATTAAATTCTTTCAGAATTTCATCTTACTTTTTGGCCATATAAATATCAACAAACTGCACCGACTTGCATATTTTTGCTCATTTTGGGCCTAAAATTGAGGTGTTTTATTTTTATGTGTGAGCTCCATATTCTCCTATATCATACTATATGAGCCATGAAAGCCCGCTTTATCAAATATGATAGTCAACAAAAAACAAAAACACCAACGTTTATTGATTTTTGTTTTTTAAATATTAAAATATTTTTCTGACTGTTATTTCATATGTTAGGCTTTAAAGGGTTAATATAAAAACCTGCTCTGCACACATAAATGCAAATCCAGTCAGGAGTCATAACACTCCCTAAGGAACAATACCACTCTTTCAGGGAGTTTAGTCCTGGGAATAATCACAATCATAATCATAATACTACATGAGTAACTTAGCGCCATGCATGAGTCACACTTATTCACTCACTTTCTGTAGTGGACTTTTTAATACAAAACATATTCCCCATCTGGGTTTTGCATGTGTGCGTGTGTTATTTGCTTTATTATTTGCTGAGTCAGGCAGCTGGAGACACGGCAGCTAGGGGATAGCGGACTCGTTCCAAAGCCCATGACTTGCTGCACTGACTTCAGAAACTGCTGAGCGTACCTGCCAGATGTACAGCAGCCCTCGCTCATCCATACATTAAAGTCTCAGGTATCTAATGTGGTTAACGCACATTAGATCTGTGCAGGTTTAATACAACTAATTGTTTCCATGCTTTCTTCAAAGTATAATGTACAAGTATTCGTGCATGTTAAAGTCCACATGAAACCAACATTGTCACCATTTTTTTTTATATTATGATTTTGTATGATTAATTGATACATGTTCTTCTAATACAACTTCCTTTTCCACTGATGTCACTTAGTTTGCAAGGACTTCTGGATAATGATAAAAGGATCTCACAAAAAAAAAAGAGAATTCTGTCATCATTTCCATTTAAAATGTTTGACCATACAGTAAAGGTCAATGGGCTACAGTCTTGTTTGTTTATAAAATCTTCTTTTGTGTTCCACAGAAGAAAGAAACTCATGCAGGTTTGGAATGACATGAGGGTGAGTAAACGATAGCAGAATTTTTATTTTTGCCTGAACTATCCCTTTAACCAATAACCAAAGTGCTTTATCAAACCCTCACTCTGACTCAGAATTGATTCTGAATTAATTCCCAGTAATTAAAACCAAGCCCCACCCATTACTTCTTGTTAAATATCTTGTTTCACTCCACATTACTGAATTAAAATAGGTTGCGCATGAGGTTTCATGTTCATATTAATGGTGCAATACTACTACAAAACGTTGGTCTCTCTATCACCATATGTGGATGAAACATAAAATTGCAAGTTACTTAAAGGGTTTGTTTGTTTGTTTATTTGGTTGTCACTGTTTTGCATGGATGAGTCTAATGATGAGGGATCTGTCACGCAACACATAGGATCCTCTGAGAGTAAGAAGAAACTCCCACAAGACCAAAATTGTCAAGTAAGTAGCCAGATCTTTTTTTCTTCACTCTTGGACGTGAAAAACATAGAAGGATGCAATTTACTGCACAATTTGACCTGTCCACTCAAAAAAAAATTCTTTACTTTTGTCCTTAGATAAAGGGAAAATTCTGTCATCATTTACTTTTAACGATAGAAATTGACGTCTGTAGTAATTTTTTCCATACTATGGAAGTCAATGGCTATCGTCAACTTTGGTTACGAACATTCTTCAAAATATCTTCTTTTTTGTTCAACAGCTGAAAGAAACTCATACAGATTTGGAACAACTTGAGGGTGAGTAAAAATTCCTTAACACATAAGAAGACATTTTGAATAATGTTGGTAACCAAACAGGATTTGACATCCAAATACTATGGAAGTCAATGGCTACCATCAACTTTTTGGTTACCCACATTCTTCAAATTATCTTATTTTGTGTTCAGCAGAAGAAAGAAACTCATACAGGTTTGGAACAAGTGGAGGGACAGTAAATGATGACAGTTTTCATTTTTGGGACAACTATCCCTTTCATTTTGAACACTGTTCATTCGTCTTTGATTCACGTGCAGCATGCAATGCAATTTTACCATGTAATGCGATTTTGCTTTTTGGCACTAACCTAAATGGCTTTTGACTAAAAGATTTTGGGTATCAGAGTGAGTTATTTGACAGAGGGATGAATGTGTTTTTCAACCTGATTTGGTTGTTTTATAAAGTGCCTCTCCAGTGTGATTCCAGCCTTACTGTCTGACATCTGGGTCACATCTGCATTTAGCAGATATTTGGAGAAAGCATAAGCAAGCATACTTATTTGATGCCAAAACACTTTAAAGGAGAACAAACCATACATACATTTGAGTGGTTTTAGACACGGCAATAAACTAGAGCCAGAGATGATGCAGAAAATCATGCAAAAAAAGCCACTGAACAAGCTTTCAAAGTAATGAAAAGTTATTGCTCTCTGTTATAAGGATAATTACATGTTTGAAATGCTGCTGTGCCATTAAATTATGAAATCAATAAGCACCAAGGACAATGTTTTTTGTGATCACATGACTCATAAATGCAGGAAAACCTAATTTATCGGTACTATGAAAAATAGTGGTTGTTGTTCTTGAACCTTTGTGGTGAGACTGTGATAATGGATGCAAAAAATGCATTTCTTTTCAAGGCAGCTCATAAGCCCACACATTTCTGCACCACATTGCAGCATAACAGTAAATTGTTGTTTGCACTATCACAGTTCTGAGCTGTATTTGCTTGTTTGTTTTGAATCATTTACCACAGTGATCTCAGCAGGATGAGAGTGTGTGCAGTCTTTGTGATGTCCACTGTCTTCATATCACAAGGCTTCACTTTACAGATCGATATTGGGCTACAGAGCTGGACAGAGAAAGTGGTAAACACCCAGAATCTTACACTACACACACACACACACACACACACACACACACACACACACACACTCAGATGCAGATGAGGATGTCTCATATAATGCTTTACTCTACTCAGTAACAGTGTATGAATAGCCACACATTCAGCTGACTCTGTTCAGATTTTATCTTATTACTAAAGTATATGTGCAAACCCAGTGCCTCTGTGTGAAGATCTAATCCTGTACAAAACTAGATTCATAATTAAAGTCATAGTTTTCCAAAAAGATTGAAATAGTTCTACAATAACTCAAATACTGCTTACATCTCAAAAGGCATTCCATACTAGTTTTTTTTTTTTTTTACCAGTCATGGATGTTTACTACATATTATAAGGCAATATAGCTTATAAAATAAGCATTAAAATTCATATAGTGACCCATGTATGCATAGAAGACAGGCCAGTTGAATCTTGTTGTAAAAAGTGTAATTTCTAGCGACAGATTCCCAAACTTATTTCTCAGCCAAACCTCTTTGATGTAACATATTTGCTTTAAGTACACCCTGAGATTTTAAGTTTATATTTAAATAATTTAACAACATATGGTTCAGGGTTCTTTGACGTTGGTTAATGGTCACATGACATACTGTACAGGTCAAGAAATAAAATATTTTTTTTTATTTTTTTATTTTTATTTATTTAAGTTTAACACTTTTTATGATTTAATACTACAATCTACATCAACATCACAAAATTTCAAAAAAATGTTTAATCAGAACTCTCTCCATAAAGCTGTCAGTACCCTATTTTATCAATCAAACTGATTTTTATGGCAGTTTTTTTATTTATTTAGGACATCAAATTTACCATATTACCATGTATAACACTGCATGTACAATAGATATTTATGACGGGGAAAAAAATAAAAAATATTTTTTTACCAAATTCTTGAAGCAAATTACAAACAATAGGACAAAGATACAAATTAAGTAAAGAGTGGGGTGGGGGGGGTAGGTTTACTATCTTGGTTCAAAATACTACAGAAATTTATTAATTAAAATGTAAAATAAAACACTGCCCTGTCTTCACTGTAGGAATTAAATATACATTGATCCTTGTTAAAGCTGCAAAAGTTATTCAGTCAAAAGAAGTATGTTACATTCTCTTTTTCTTTTGTTGTTTTATTAATATTAAAGGCAAAGCAGCAGGTATATTAGGCTGCAGTCACTATAAGACAGACTGCACGGGTCCAATATACTAATGCACATCCATTTTTTCCCCTACTGTTTTCATTAATTTAAAACATAACCGACTGTGTTTAAGTGAGTACTCACCAGGAGGGGCATTTTGACATAACTTTGTGTGCATTTTCTAAAAGGTTTTTATAATTTTAATGATCACTAATTTGTTGTTAGATTCTGTATGATTCTGAGTGAAATTAAATGAAGAAGCCTCCACTGCAGCATTTATTAACAAAAAAACATGCAAATAAAAACAGATGACACATCAGATGACCCATCAGAAGGATATACACACATTTATGTTTCTGGAAATAGCGTTTTAATCTCATAGTACAGAACCACATATTCAAATGAGGTTCACAGTATGTCATAAGTAGTTCGGCTGAATTGATTCTGGTGCTTGATTATGTACCTCAAAACAGAATATATACTGATCCCGCACAGCATGTTGACCTCCATTTTAGTGCTGCGTTGTGTTATAAACACTATTTATTAAACCCTCCTCCCTTTTCCTCCCTCCTCTCTTCCGTTCCTCCCCCTGCCTCTCTCTTTCCTCCTCTCTGTGTGGATGTGAGGCAGGTGGCCCAGCAAGAGAAGTTTGACACAGTTTCTACATCTGATGTTTAATGTACTTTAGTGTTGATGTTGAACGTGTGCGTGACTGTTCTGGGCCAAAGTCAGCTTGTTCTGCACCACTTCTCAGGATACAATGCACCTGAAACTTAAACTATGTCAAAATGCAGGACAGTGTGTAGAACATTGTTTCCCAACCATAGCTTCATTCATAAGGCTCAAGTACCTCTCCATCAACACCTAATAATGGATTAGGTGTAAAAAGTAACACCTAAATGTTACTTTTAAATTATATTTTACTGGATATCATTCATCACTATCATTAATAATTAATTAATATTATACAGTATTATTCATATGATACAACATTCTTAAGTATTATAAATTAAATATTATACAATATTATTAATATTCAGTTCATTAATTACAAAAAAACATAGATATGAGTATCTTCCAAAACTTGAACATATTACATTATTTTGAAATTTTTCCTTAAAAGGAATTAAAAAAATTATTAACACAATAAAAAACATGAAAACTAACTAACTAAAATAAATAAATAAATTGATGGATGGATGGATGGATGGATGGATGGATGGAAGTTAGTACATTACAAGAATTAAAGTTGAGGTCAAAGAATATTAGATCATATTTCTTGGTCAACAAAATAGGACAGACAGACCAATAGAATACAGAAACTGATACCACAGACCTTTTAAGCAAAGACACCAAATCAATGCTGTGAAAGATCTGGTTTTAAAGTGTATTTACTGCAGGCTGTAGTAAAATACTAAGTGGAAAATAAACGATTCTATTAATGTCAAGCCTGCATTTACCAACCAATCTTTTCTGAAATGCCCTATAGTATTTTTAAAATACCTAATTTCTTTCTAAATCAGATTACGTTTCACTTTAAGGTCCATTTAAAGCAAGGGTGCCCAAACTCGATCCTGGAGGGCCGGTGTCCTGCAGAGTTTAGCTCCAACTTGCCTCAACACACCTGCTGGGAAGTTTCTAGTATGCCTAGTAAGAGCTTGATTAGCTGGTTCAGGTGTGTCTAATTGGGGTTGGAGCTAAACTCTGCAGGACACCGGCCCTCCAGGACCGAGTTTGGGAACCCTTGATTTAAAGTGATAGTTCACCCCAAAATAGAACCTGTCTTTATTTACTCACCCTCATGCCATTCCTGACTTTCTTTCTTCTGAAGAAAACTAAAGAGGATATTTTGAAGAATGCTGGCAACCAAACACTTTACAATTGAAATGGATGGACCCAAACAAAACACTGAGGCATTTATCAAAATATCTTCTTTTATGTTGCGGAGCGACATTAGGGTGAGTAAATGATGACATAATTTTAATTTCTGAGTGAGCTCTCTCATTAATGTGCCACCGATCCAGCTAGGACTTATTATTTGGACTTATTCGTCAAGTGTGTTTCGGATTCAGGATGGTCCCAACCTGATTCCCACCTCTCCCTCACACACATTTCCCTCAGTTCTCCTGCATGTATCACCCTCCCTCCGTCCCTCTCTCCATCTCCCTCTCACTGCAATGAAATTCAGCATGTTTGCTATCTCTCCCTCTCACTTTCCAGCCGATTTCAATGTGCAACACGATACCACAAGAGCATCTCCAACAATAGAAATTCTCGCCCTCTGTAAATGCCGTAAATAAGCTCTATCACTGCATTTAATCGCTCCATCATCTCTGCCTCCCACACACAGACACCATGCAGTAGCATAAATCAAGAGATGTGGGTTGGAATCTACACACCCACAAACGCACACACACGCATGCCCGCACACAGCAGTGAACGCACAATATGACAGCTCAGACGTTTAACTAAAGATATCCTTCCACCAGTCAAATTCGTTTTACACATCCCAAACGTGCGGCGAAAATCGCCAGCCACACACCAGCAACCCCCTTCCCGGGCGCTGTAATTACCCCTCTCACTTAATACACCCACTCACGTGCACCCTGCCAGAAAGTAGAAGAAAAGAAGAGGGTCTTACTCAGGGTTCGAGAGCCGATACATCCCATGGTTTATTCACAAAGGCCCTGGATAGAAGCAAGGAAGCGCGAGCCTTTCACCATACATTCTCTCCTCCTCTCTCTGCTTTCTCTTTTCTGGCTGTTGATTCTCTCCTCTCATGCTGCTCCCTCCCTCCCTCTCTCTCTTTCTCTCTCTCTTTCACTCTCTCTTTCTCCCCCTCTCATTCTCTCTCGCTCTCTCTCTGTGCAGTCAGGGTGTCTTTCTTAGCCTGTGAGTCAGTGTGTCAGAAATTAGCACTTATTATGACACTGATGTAGTTATAATCACAAATTATAGGTATAATATTCATTTTATGCACTTCATTAGGGTTAAAAATGCGTAATCATTTTATTTAGGTGTATTTGTAGTAGATAATAGCTTAAAATCCTAATCTCACAGAGAACTGGAAATACAAAAAGTTTATTTATTTTTTTGTGTGCATTTACGTGTGTGTGTGTCATACAGGATTCATTGTTATTGCCGCAACTGTGCGCTGCTGCACGGCTGGGATTAATTTGCCCTGTATCACTAGAGGGCTCAAACAGCTCCCACAATGCAGTACAGATGTCTCTCTCTCTTTTTGCCCTGACCACTGAACCCAACTCGCACAAACACTCATTACTATACTGTAAAATCATGCGATATAGCCACAGGATATTCATGTGAGGCTCTCAAAACTTGAAAGTGCTCTCTCTCTCTCTTTCTCTCTCTCCTGTCATTCTGTTCATTCTGGTCCCTCCCTCTGTCTTGGTGGCAAAAACACACACAGGAGGAGTGGCTTTGTTATCTGGAGATCACTGCCGCCAACTCTATCTCTATCACTCTGCTTTTTTCTTTCCTTCTTTCCATCCTGACCTGCATATTCGTTTAATTACTATGAGGTGATGTCTTTATCTTTGCTTCTCTCTCTTTCTCATGTATAATACATGCACGGGGCTGTTTCTCTATGTATTTGTCATAAGCTCAATGATGCAGAATTGGTATAAAGGAGGGAGGGTCAATCCGTTTTTCCTTGAGTTCAGCCAGAGAGCGATAGAGGGGTTGAGAATTTCAGAATTGTTTAACAATGAGTAAATTAGTATTCAAAAAGAAACAGAATGTGATTGAATGTAGAGAGTGAAAGAAAGGGGCAAATGAGAGGTGGGGGAGAGAGATGAGGCACAAGAGGAAATTTGGGCAGAGAGAGAGGGAGAAAGAGAGAGGGATGGAGGGAGGGAGGGGGATGGTTAATTCTGTATGTACACAAAAAGATGGCTAGACGCAGCAGTCCAGCTGTAATCTACCCAATCCTGGAGAGTCGTACTGTGTCCTGGCTATTTATAGATTATCATCTCTTCTACTATGCGTGTGTGTTCTCTAATGTGATGCGGTGTTGCTTTGTAAATTGGCCTGCTCTGTTGTATGAGCCAATGAATTTGTCCCGATCAAATTAATTCGAATTTTCTATTTGATCTGTGAACTATGATATATGTAATAATAATTGCTAGAATGTGAATGCAGGATCTATTCAACCTCAGTGCTTGTGTGTGCGTATGCGTGTATGTATCTGTGTGTGAGTCAGATGTTACCTACATTGTAAGGACCAAATGTCCCAACAAGAATAAGAAAAAAGATTAATAAACATATTAAATTAAATATTGATGAAAATCTATAAAAATAAAATAAAATAAAGGTCAGTAACATTTTAAAGTATGGTTCAATTTGTGTGCATTATTTTTCATGCACTAACAAGGCCTTTTTGTACAGCATTTGTGTCACGGTCTGCAGCTGGAGTGCCCAAGATGGCCACCATCTGTCTGGTTTGTTTGGTGCCATGTGCTCTCTCCTGTCTTATTGTCTGTCCCCTCCCATCTTGTCACGTCATTATTGTTTAAGTTACTCCACCTGTGTCTCCCTCGTTACCCTCCTCGTTTGTCTCCCTATTTATTTTCCTTGTGCTTGCAGTCCTGTGCTTCTTCGTTGTCGTATGTAGTCAGATATGTCTGTGTGTTTCTGGTATTGGGCCAGCTCTACCTGCTATGCCCTGTTCTGGCCTTCACGCCTGTTTTTCCCCCTCGGGGTAGTTTGTTTTGTTTCATTTTATTATTAAAAAGGCCCATTATTCTCCTGCATTTGAGTCCTCACCTCATCGCTCTCCAGTACCATGACAGAACGAAGAAGCCAAATGAGGACTCAGCGGAGAATGGTCAACCTCCCATTGCCAGCCTCCACTATCAGCAGCCCCCTCTACCAACGTATGCTCCAATTATCAGCATTGAGTTCCCTCCGGCAACGGGGGACTGACCTGAGGGAATTCGCCTTGGAATTCAGGACTGCTGCGGAGGGTCTGAAGTATAATGATGCGGCTCTCAAGGACTTGTTTCCTTATGCCCTTGATGAGCCGATCAGCACCTGGAGGAGATACGGCACTGAGCACCTGTCTTTTGGGGCGTTTGTGGACTTTATAGCCCACAACGGGAGACCGTCAGTTCCTGAACAGAAGGGTCTTTTTCCTGACATGACCGCCTGTTCTGAGTCTCATCACAAGATGGCCGCCAGTCCAGAGCCTCTTCAGAGGAGAGCTGCCAGTCCGGAACCACTTCACAAGGTGGTCTCAAGTCCGGTGGTCCTGGAGGACCCGATTCTGGTGGTCTCATGTCCGGTGATCCTGGAAGATCTGACTCTGGTGGTCCCAAGTCCTGTGTTCCTGGAGGACCCGACTCTGGTGGTCCTGAGTCCTGTGGTCCTGGAGGACCCGACTCTGGTGTTTCCGAGTCCGGTGGTCCTGGAGGTCCTGAGTCCGGTGGTCCTGGAGGACCCGACTCCGGTGGTCCCGAGTCCGGTGGTCCTGGAGGACCTGACTCTGGTGGTCCTGAGTCCAGTGGTCCTGGAAGACCTGACTCCTGTAGTCCCGAGTCCGGTGGTCCTGGAGGACTGGACTCTGGTGGTCTCAGAGGTCACCACAGAGCCGTCCAATTTCACTGCTGCTGCCATAGTCAAGAAGGCGGTCTTTGCCTTTGGCCTCTGGACTGTTCTGCGTGCATGGGAGCATTCAGAGTCCACTCCAGAGTTTGCTACAGTCTGGGAGCCCTCAGAGTCCACTCAAGAACCCACTCCAGTCCGGGAGCCTTCAGAGTCCATTCAAGAGCCAGCTCCAGTCCGGGAGCATTCAGAGTCCACTCAAGGGCCAGCTCCAGTCCGGGAGCCTTCAGACTCTACTCCAGAGCCCGCTCCATTCCAGGAGCCTTCAGGGCCTGCTGAAGTTCCTCCCGAGGTGGCGGCTTCTGCTGCAGAACCTCCTGAGGCGGCGGCATTTACTTCAGCTCCTCTCAAGTGGTGGTTCTCTTTTCCACCTGCTCCGCCCTGGTGGGTTTACGCTCCACCCTGGTTCCATGATCCGCCGCAGGATCCAGGTCCTCTTCCCCTACACGGGCCTGGCCCACCGTCCCTCCCCCTAGTCCACCTCCATTCCACCTCCCTCCTGGATTCCTTTGACATTTGGTGGAGCGTCTGGAATCTGCTCCTTGAGGGGTTATGTCACGGTCTGCAGCTGGAGTGCCCAAGATGGCCACCAGAGAAAGTAAAAATTGAAATCGCATCATATGACCCCTTTAAATGTTATCTGCGATCGGCTCAATTTGAGAAAGGGGAAAACATTTAACCAGATTTAAAAAAAAACACTGGCTGGATTTTTATCATTATAGGGTGGTTGTGTACACATACTGCCAACACACATTTCAGTTCAAACAACTTGTAAAAGTGCATGTAGCATCCTATGACCCCTTTAAAATATATAAGAGTTTCTGTATGTATTAGGTTAAGGGTAGAGAATAGAGGTCCATGGAAAGTCTTCATTACAAATGAGTGTGTGAGTACCTGGTATTCTCTATTTACGGAGACTTAATGACCCCACATGGATAGTAATACCAGTCATTTTTTGACCTTGTGGGGACATTTTTTTGTCCCCATGAGGAAACAAGCTTATAAATCATACAGATTTACGTTTTTTTTTTTTTTTTAAATGCAGAACGTTTTGTGTGAGGGGTAAGTTTAGGGGTAGGGTTAGGGTAAGGGGATAGAAAATACAATATAAAAACCCAAATGTTTGTATCTGCATTAAAGGATCACAGTGATAAAGATACAGCTGGAAAAATGGATTTCATGTCCAATATGCTCTCTCTGTCCCTCTCTCACTTTCTCTCTTTTTCTCTCACATGCACACATTCTCTCTTTAATTTTTCCCTCATATTTTGTTGTCTGCTGGTGTTACTTCCTTCCTAATTTCCTAGTGTCCCTCATACAGTACAAACATATATCAACACCCTTACACACACAGTTTCTCTCAGTGTGCTATGATTAATGTCTGCTCCCTGTCCGACCATTGAAAAGGAAGGAGCGTGTAAAGAGATGGAGACCCATACTGTGTATAATCTCACATTAACATGGCAACCCAATGGATGTCAGGATTGCCTCCTCATGGTGCCATCCCAACCAAGAATGAGCTTTCCCCACCCTGGGCCCATTCTACAGTTAAGCATAAGCAGACCTTTTTTTTTTCAAATGTATATAGAACCATGAAGTCAAAATGGTTATACTCTAATTTTTTCTTACTAAAAAAGGATTGTATTAATATCCTTAAAACTAGTCCCAGTGTGATGTGGCCCAGCAGGTACATGTGCTCTGACATGTTGCACAGAACTACATGGCGAAATATATGTTGAAAACAATTAAGTTCAGTTTGATTAATTTTTATGAAGTCAGAGTATGTGTTTTAAACTTTGTTGCAACAGGGCCCTTTTTAATTCCCTGTGCACAAAATTTGGTCCATATAAAAAAAAGTTAACTGAGACTTGAAGAAGAACAAGAACATGGAAGAACATGATTGGTTTGCGCAAAGCCTATAGACCTGACACCCAATGAACACCTTTGGAATTAATTTTTATCACTGACTGCAAGCCAAGCCACATCACTCAACAACAGTGCCTGACCTCTCTGATGCTCTTGTGTCTGAAAGTGCAAGATGCAAGTCTCCACAGCCCCCATGTTTATACATCTAGTAGAAAGCCTTCCCAGAGGAGTGGAAGCTGTTATAACAGCG